ACAACAGAGTATGTGAAACTAATGCTATATTATTGTAAAAATTTTTTCCCACCTTTTAAAAACTTTCCCCTTACTCAATGTTATCCACACTATCAAAGCCCCGGACATAGTTATTCAAACATGTACAAGTATATGCAAAACCCCAAAGGAGCTGATGTTTGCCTTTTAACCATTTCTTGAATCAACTTGGACACACTTTGAATGTAGCAGTAGTAACTGTATAAACATGCCCATTTCACAACATAAAATTTTAAGTAAATCATCTATATCTTAAATTTAGATTGAGAGAAAATAAATTGAGTGTGATGCTTTTCAAGGTCAACTTTTGTAAAGATTGAGGAACCATCCCATCTATACAAAAAGATGGCCAAGAGCCTAGGAAGCGTGTAGACCCACACTGTCCAGTATGGTAACTATTGGGTTGTTGGAAAAGTCATGACGTATTTTTTCTATGTTTTTCATTACAAAAATGCATCATAACTTTTCCGACAACCCAATACCAAGCACACATAGCTTTCGAGCACCTGAAATGTGGCTATAGCTTCTTATTTGAAATGGTAATATTTTGGATAAGAAAACAAAACAAAACAAATGAACCTTGACCTAAACCTCACGCCTTACAAAAAAATTAACTCAAAGTGGATCACAGACTTAAATGTAAAATATAAAACTATAAATCAAGAATATCTTTGGGAACCAGAATTCTTAAACTTGAACCAAAAGCATGATACATAAAAGGAAAAATTGGTTAAATGACCTCAACAAAATTAAGAACTTTTGCTCTGTGAAAGAGACCCTGTTAAGAGGATAAAATGACAAATGATAGACTGGGAGAAAATATTTGCAAACCACGTATCCAACAGAGAACTTGTATCTAGAATATATTAAAACTCTCAAAACTCTACATTTTAAAAAACAGATTAGGAAATGGGCAAAATGTATGAGCAAATATTTTGCCAAAGAGGAACATGAAAAAAAGTTCAGTTTCATTAGCTAATTAGGGAAATGCAAATTACAACCATAATGGAATGCTACTACACAATCTACAGTATTAGAATGTCTAAAATTTTAATTGACCATACCAAATGTTGGCAATGATTGGGGAAACTAGATTACTCATTACTGGTAGGAATGTAAAATGGTGCAGCCATTATGGAAAATAAGTTTGCCATTTCCTTTAACACTAAAGATGCACTTACCACGTGACCCATCCGTTGTAGTCTTGGGGATTAATCCGAGAGAAATGAAAACCTATGTTCATGCCAAAACCTGTACATAAATGTTCCTAGCAGCTTTATCCATACTGACCAAAAGTATGAACAAAACCCAATGTCCTTCAATGGATGAAGGATCCTTAAAGTAGTTATGAAATTTAAATGGGTGGGCTGTAATCCAATATGATTGGTGTCCTTACAAGAAGAGGAAATGTGGACCCATACAAAGGGAAGATGATATGACAGCACAGGGAGAAGACGACCATCTATAGGCCAAGTAAAGAGGCTTGGAACAGATCTGTTCCCCACAGACCTTAGAAGAAACCAACCCAGCTGACACCATGCTCTCAGACTTCTAGCCTCCAGAATGGTGAGAAAATAATTCTCTGTCAGTTAAGCCCCTGGAGTTAAGTGCCAGTCTGTGGTACTTTGTTATGGAACCCTAGCAAACTAATGATATATTCATCCCCGTACATATTGCACAATATTATTCAGATACTTTAAAAGACTTTCACATTAAAATTAATTTAGGTTTTAAAATCAAAATTCAAAACAGAAACAACATTCCTAGAAAATGGCATTGCTAAATATTTTCTTGCCAACAAAGTATGGTGAATGTTGAACAGCATATATGAGTGAAATATTTCCTGCTCTTCTAATTAGTGGGTATCACTTTATTGTCATCAATATTGTTTAAATGTTCATCGATTAGGTTCGCTTAAACCAGAGCATACCTATTTTAATAAAAGATTTCGGAAAAAAATATTTTTCCAAGGCAGAGTATCTTAACAAGTATAGAATAAATTTGCCTCCGCTCTCAAAATAACTATTGATTGAATAGCTCTTGAACTTTTAAACTTCAAGTCCTGAATTAGGCTTAGAAATGTAGTCCACATTTTTCATAAAATTGATGAAATTAAGGATAGAATAGACCTATTTGCTTATCCTACTAAAAATGTTTCCTTTTTTAAAAATTTTTATTTTATTTATTTATTAATTTTTAAGCTGAGCCATCCTGCCACCTGTTGGCAGCTCAGCAGCTGCTCAGCTCGGGCTGGACTCGAACCGCTGTTGCTCAGAGCTCAAACTCTTGAGCGAGCTCCTAACCAACTGAGCCACT